CCTCAGCCTTCTCCCAGAACCACCTACCTGCTACCCCTTCATCCTCAACCCTCTCCCAGAACCACCTCCCTGCTCCCCTTCATCCTCAACCTTCTTCCAGAACCACCTACCTGCTACCCCTTCATCCTCAACCTTCAGGCCACATATCGTGTTCTCGGGAAAAATCTTCGCTGCTGCCCCAGGTGCTCACTTAGCACCTGTTTACTTTTCTATTGTTTGCCCCCAACAGGGTGTAAATTCTGTGAGGGCAAGGACTTGACTTGTTCACTGCTCTTCACCCAGAGTTCAATGTGTGTTGAATGCATTAATCATTCTCGCCTCTCTTGGTTACCTTACATCTGTCTTGTGACTGGGCTCAGATCTGTTTCTCATTAGATGGGGAGTCCCACGGAGGGTGGGAGCCACGTCTGCTCTGTTCAGCATTGTATCCCTGCATGCACCCCAGGAGGCCTTCTACAAATGTATATTGAATAAATTTTATCACGACCATGTGAAAAATCATACCAAATGGTTAATAGTGATTGTGTTAAGACTGTGAAAACATCACTGATTTTTTTTCTCTATCTACAAGAAAAAGTATAATGGAAAAAAGCCCCAACAATATAAAAATTAACAACAAGAAAAAATAATTAATATATTATATTTACTGAATAAACATAATTAAAAAGTTAAAAATAGAAATGATACCTATAATTATTCTGCCCTAAGAGACCAGGTGTTTTGATTTTTTTCCCCAATGTGTGCAGCATTTTATATAGCTTGGAATAGATAAAACCTGCATTTTGTCTTTCCTGCTTCGTGCTATGTGACATTCCCAGGATGCTGCATTGCCCGCATAATTATTTTTAGAAACTAGTGTACAGGGAGGAGGGCTGTTTCTTCAAGATTTACTTCCTGAGGTCAAATTCAGACTGTGGGAGTCTTCCCATAGAGGTACGGATTTCTGACTTCATTGGCCAGAAGTTGGGAAAGAAACAGGCTTTGAAGGATGTGGGCGCAAGCCTGGCATGAGCACTTGACGTCAAATGAAGTGTGATGATTTTCAAAGAGAGTCAATGTTTCATCAAGCCTCTAGTAAAAATGAATAAATAGTTATGTTGTTTGGAGAATTCCGAAGTCAGGTAGCTTGACTGTGTTCTGAGATGAGGTGGATGCATTGACAAGTGGTGGGGGGGATGGTGCTGAGTGTCAGGCTCGAACAGTCGGGGCGGGGGGAGGACTTCGGGAACATAGAATGGGGAACAAGTGTAGGACATTAATAAATGAGGTGATGACAAGCTGGAGGCAGCCAGTACTGATTAGAAACAGTTACTTGTGGTCCCTTGATTGGCAGGGAAGTGGCAGTAGAGACAGGAGTGACCAGGCGTCCGAGGGACAGCAGTGACAGATGGAGGCACCCAGGCGGATGCTGTGGCCTGGACATGACGACTGCTGCCTCCCGCGTTTCAAAATGCAAGTCTGGGCAGGATGGCCTCTGGCTTCCTTCTCGATTATTTTATAAAATGACGGTATCATAGCCCCAAGCGGGAGCCTGGGTCGAATGAACCACATTACCTTTAACCCCAAATTTGCCACTCTGCGGCTGTCTTGCTCACCATGTTCTTCATCATACAAACTCCCCGACCCTGGTGCTTCACAGAGGACCCAGGGTAAAGGGTAACTGCTGCAGAATCACATGAAATTCTTTCCCAAGCAGCAGAACTTCCCAAGCTTGGACCCCATCAACAAGCCCAGTGCTGTGCCAAACTGACCACTAAGAGATTTACATCATGTACTTCAGACTCGCCTTTCTGCTCTGTTTGCCCCGTCCAGCACTCACGCTTCCTCTCTCTCTCTCTCTCTCTCTGGATTAAGCACCTCTCATTTCCAAACAGTTCTAGGGTTTTCCTGAAATAGAGCAAATTGGCTTTAAAAAAAAAAAAAAAGAACCAGTAATTAAATCACAACCAGTGATTTAATTAAGGGCTAAGCAACCTTTTCATTTGAAAGAGGACAAGTACGATGAAAGGGCAGAGGAAAAGGATACAGAAGGAATGATAGGACTTCAGGCCTGGTGTTTGGAAGGTGTGGGGCAGACACATTTGTGCTCTGGATGGCCTCTCCTATCCATCTCAAGTCACACTGGCTTTGACGACAAAGCATTAGCTGTCATTTGTGTTAATTTCTTTATCTAAAATCATTATATTCAACCATTTCTTCTCTGTGAGTAAACGTTTATCTTTGACCACTAGACCCTATCTATTATGTTCAATGTTGAATCCCCACTGTCTACACTGGGACTGGTACATGAACATTGCTCAAGAAACACTGAATGAATGAATGAGTAATCAGAACTAGAATATTCTGGTTTCTGCATGTCATTAAATCATCAACCATTCAACTGTATTATTAGGTCAGGTTCGCATAATGCTCAACCCAAGTTGTCATCACCAGCTTGATTACTTTAACGGCTAGCAAAAACTTGTGGATTGTATTTAGAAAAACACAGCTAAAATACGTACATGGTGGGGAAAAGGAAATTCTGACCAGGGCCAGTTTCTCTCCCAGACTCAGAGTTTATGCAGCTCTCCCTAGGTCAAGTTTAACATCCTATCCCATGAATGTGCACTTGATATGAAGAAATTTAAAGGATGCATTGACATTTTTGTTTTATTTCAGCAAACTCCAGAAGACAAAGAGGGATATCAGATGGCTTCAGGGAGTGACTGGCGAATGGTTTGAGGAAATTCAAAGAAAAAAGTTCTGCAGTGAAACAGATGTTAGCCAAATGTTAAAACAACCACTTACATACAGACTAAGGAAGGGGATGGCAGAAAATGGTGAGAAAAAAATTTAGATCTAGATTTTTTTTTTTTCCTTACAGCACTGTATTCTAGATAATGACTCAGTGGGTCTCCGATTTAACCAATCCATATTTAGGATTATTTTTAAATCATAAGGTACAAAAGTTTTATAACCTAGCATATAATAAAAAGAGTGAACTTAAAATGTGCTATAATGTCTTGGGGGTATGTTTTTAGAATCAGGCAAGATAGCGTAGTGGTTAAGAACACAGACATCAATATTAAAAAAAGGCTTGGATTCACATCTCCACTCTCTTGATATTCTCTATTCTATCAGAATCCATGTAACTGTTCAAGTTACTTATTCTCTATAAGCTTCAATTTTTCATCTTTAAATGGGTATGATGATACACCTCAGAGGGTCGTTGTGTATGTATAATGCACCGAGCTGGAACACAGTAAGCACTTAAATGATTGGGATGATGGTGCAGAAGAAGGGGGAGATGGAGGGGGAGAGAAAGGGGGAGGGGGAATTATGGGAGAAGGTGGTAGAAGAGCCGCCACCCTTCTGGTACTTTGGTAACTTAAACTCCATAGGTAAGTGCTTCTTTGAACATCCCAACCATGTGACTACTCACACGTCACTTATCTTCACCCATCACTTTTTTTTTCCAATCTGTAAATGAGGATAATAAAACCCACTTTCACAGGACTATTGTGAGAATAACAAAGTGCATTCAGCATTATAAACTATGAAAACAGTATAGAGTATCTTCCTACTGATATAGTCATATTGACTACTTTTGCTGGCGTGTTACTAACATTAGTAACATCAAGAAACATGTAACAATATTTCTAAAGTTATACTGACAATATTTTACAACTCCCATAATAAACAAATCTATCTAAAAAGACTCATAGTTCAGATTTTGAAATTAACCCCATATTTACCATGATGACTTTCCCCTTACCTTGAATTCCTCTAATATTTATAAATTCAGCATGTCCAAATATATTACAGTATTACAGACTTTGTATATGTTGATATTGCCTTAGAATTTTTAATACTCACATATGTAACTATATGTTATCTATACACACATTAGGCATGTTTATATTACAGGCAGACACACATATAAACCATATGTGTAGCAAATACACATACACAGATTTCTGATGGGAATAAGGAACACTCTAAGTGGCTTGATTTCCTTTTCCTTTCTTTGGAGTAAAAAGTTACATGGTGTCTATCAGTATGGTTTTAAAGCACTAAGATAAAAAATGTCTGAAGGACAGGGTGGCTAAAGGCACCCCGCAAGTTGAACGAGGGCCGTGACACCTTACGTTGGGCTTTGCGTGGATTCGCGCAGCTGGTGTGTGGGGAGGCACGTTCCACGGAACTGCGGCTCACGGTGCATATTGAAAGGGCTCCCTACTCTTCATGAGGATTTTCTCTACGCAGCAGAGCCTTCAGAAGCACAGGGCGCCCCTGAGTTCCTAGGGTCTTCATGTGGGGATGCCTGCTGCATTCTCCGTCTCCATCGAGAAGCGGGAAGCAAGAGCGAGGGCTCAGTTCTCTGAGATGTATTTACCTGGAAATATTGAGTGATGCCAAATTTCTACAATTTCCCTCCAGATCCCATGGAATTACAAACATCAAGATCTAAAACTACAGCTAATCAAAGAAACCCAACATCCATTTCTTCTCGGCTGAGCTTCAGATCGTCGTTTGCTTCCCTGTTCTCATTCAGAAAATCCAGAAAGGAGACTTTAAAGCTTCAGTCACTGGGACAGAAAGGGTGAGTTAAACTCGGATCACGTCACACCTCTGATGGCAGAGGTCGGTAGTCTGTTTTGTGTTCAGAATGTTTAATGTTTGTTCTCTGACTTTAAATGCAGATAGTCACAAAAGAAACAGGACTGAACTCGCAGAGGGACAAAGTCCTTCTGACACCACGAAACTTGGCTCTTTTGAAAGCCAACTTCTAACCAACTGCACAGATCCCAGGTAGTGCACGCAGTGATTAATGGGTTAAATGTTGGGAAATGCTCATTGACTTTCTCCACTGTTTCAAGAGCCTGGTCTATGCTCTGGTCAGGAAGATATCTTCAAATCAAAACTACTTTTTCCTTGGGGATATGTGTATCTGTGGTCACAAGGAGAGATGGGGTAGAAAGATGAAATGAAAGTAAACGAGATGAGCAACGAGAGTAGAGAAAACTGGCATTTTAAAATTGAGGGGATGAGGATATTACCGTGACTAGCAGTATCCAGAACGGCTGTTCTGCTGTGGGGACCCAGAATTTAAACTTAAGGTAAAGAAAGGGAAGCTTTTTGGAACAGGCATCGTTCCAGAGAGTTCCCAGTGTAGAGCGGTGTAAAAATCAGTTCATCCTGACTCACAGGTTATTGGATTGTTTTGTGAAAAACAAGCAAGGCTTTGCTTACATGCAGTTGGGCTGACTGCTAAATATTTTCAGCACGTCTTCCTGGTTGAAAAGCTTCCCACCCTCTTAAGGTGTTGGCCTCACACGTGACGTGAGCCATCACACCATTAAGAGTGCGTTGCTGCACTAAATAGGAGGTGCTGGAGGTCACTCTTGCTGAAAACAGTAAGTGGCATGCGGCTTGGTGGGGCGGGTGATGAGGCTCCCGAACCTGGAGAACAGAACTCTGTCCTCCCCTCTCGGGTGGATGGAAGGTGTTTTGCTCCCAGCTTTCACCTGAGCCTGCTTTTGTCTTTGCTGAAATAATGAAGAGCTGAACAGAATGTAGATTTATGTGACTGTCCCTACCAGAGTCACTTGCAAGGAAGTACTCTGCAAATAGGTGAGTTGCTTTTCTTTGTAAAAATGTTTGAAACGCTAGTAATCCTCTCGTTTGGAGATTTAAAATCGAAGGGTATTTCCTGTGGAGGGAATATGTATTTTAAGGACAAAAAAAAATATTCCTGATGTGTGGTGAAGCTGGGACTTGTGATGGAGTTTGTGTTTTAGGTGGTTTTCTTTAAGGCAGAGTTTTATACAACTGAACAATCTAACATCAGTAAACCTGGAAAAGTTGAGGAACCTGTTCACTCTGTGGACAAGTTATTTCCGAGCTCATATTGCAAGTCACTGCAAAAATGGATCAAAGAAGACAGCAAAAATCTAGAATCTTCCATCTGGGTATCATGTTTTCTGGTTACAGATCAAGGTAAAAAAAAAAAAATTGCAACTTCACAAAATTCTATTTAGCAACCATCCTTCTTGTGTGCCATCCTGACTTGCAGCTTTCTTTTAACCATACCAACTGAAACATAAAAATCAGAATGCAGAAATGGAACTGATTTTATCCTTTAAGTATATATGTGTATGTTAAGCAGTTTTCAGAATTTGTCTTCTCTAAACACATTTTAGTTTCAGAATGGAAATGGAAATAAATATTTATGAATTGTGCTGGTGCAGATTATCATGAAGGCACTGGTTTTTTGCTCCTAAGAAGTTTCGGTAGATAAACTGCAAAAACATGTCCTTTTTATTTTTATTTTATTTTCTTAAAAATTTTTTTAAGATTTTATTTATTTATCCATTTGACAGAGAGGTAGAGAGAGAGCACAAGTAGGCAGAGCGGCAGGCGGAGGGAGAGGGAGAAGCAGGCTCTCCACTGAGCAGGGAGCCTGACACAGGGCTTGATCCCAGGACCCCAGGATCATGACCCAAGCCGAAGGCAGACACCTAACCGACTGAGCCACCCACGTGCCCCTGTCCTTTTTATTCTTAAATATGTGCGTGACCTAAATATTTGGATATAAATCCTGAGTGTGTGTGTGTGTGTGTGTGTGTGTGTGTGTGGCCAGGGGTTGGTTTTAGGGAATGTTGTGCTATGGTAGGAATATAAATTGTGTATTGTACATTTCCAGAGACTCTTTACTCTTAAGTAGAGCCTACCTTTCTTTGATAGTTCTGATCTTTTGAAATACAAAATCAACCTTCCAAATACATGATTCAGGAGCTCCTCCTTGCCTTTAACTGCACCAGGAAGAACTGACAAGCCCCAGGAAAGCACAGTCATCCTGTGCCAGGTGGCCATCAGGTTCCTACTTGCCAAAGCCATCTGGGCTCCACTTTGTCACACTCGGGGCCCTGAGAACAAGTCAGCAAAGCAGTTGAGAGGATCTTTTGCAAATCACAGGAAGAGAACCCACCCCCCCAGGCAAAATATAGCCTTCTGTTCAGCCCTGAAAGACTCGAGTATCAGAGAACTTTCTTTTCATCTTTTAAGCTGTGGTTTAACCAAGAAATGACACTGGATCATGGAGAACACTCCCCAGAAGGAAATGGATTTGGTCATTTCATCAGATATTTACTTTAGAAAGGCCCAGCCAGTAAAAGTATATGATATACTGAAGCTTTGGTTTCCTCTTAGGAGTGGATAAAAAAGCCATGAGAACATGGTGACTGAATGAATTAACAAAAAGGCAAAAAGTTTTGTCATTTCTGCTTCAAATAGGATGAGTTTCTCCTCCCAAATCTATGCACTTCTCAAATTATCCCATTATTTTAAAATATATTTATTTATTTATTTGAGAGAGAGGAAGAGCAGGGGGAGGAGCAAAGGGGGAAAGAATTCCAAGCAGATTCCACGAGCTGAGCGCAGAGCCTGACTCTGGGCTGGATCCTAGGACCCCGAGAACGTGACCTGAGCCGAAACCAAGAGTCAGGCACTCAACCCACTGAGCCACCCAGACACCACTATCCCATTATTATTTTAATCCTATTTGTAAATGATTGAATTATATTCCCTCTGACCCCTCCCCAACCCCAGGAAAAAGGAAACATATTTTCCACTCATGTTTCGATTTGTTTATTGCCGGCCAACACTTTCAAGAGAAGTATACGTGTATATTGCAAGTATCTTTCCCCCAGCATTTCCCTGTAGGTTCTGTCTCCTGTGTCTGGTGATAGGGCATCTACTGCGTATGGCATAGGGCTCAGCCCCGCACCCCGCCCTGCCAGCACGAAATTTCAGTAAGCTAGAGCCTCAAAAATTCCTTCTGCGGAGTTTAGCAAGTACGCAAGAGTGTAGGTCATGAGCTTACAAATGCAATCTTCCTGGCCACCAAAGAGGATTCACAGTTGTTCATTCCTTATTCCAGACGCCCATGATCCCAGTAATGCCCTCCCTGCTATGAATACGTGCTGTGCGCACCCCTCTGGGTCTCATGCTACCGCACCATCCACAGTGACGTTGCCCCTTCAAGGGGGCCATTTACACTGTCAAAACTGTGTCGCCATGGGCCGCTAGTTCATGAGGGCGATTTTAGGGATGTGGATCCCCACCCCCGTCCTTTGTTGTAGTCCCAAGGACCAGGGCAAAGTGAAAAGACGAGGGAACTAGTTCGCAAGGCGCGTGAGTAGCATGTACAATTCAATTTAAGATCCCCTCTTTTCTTTGAGAACCATCACAGTGCTTAGGCTCTGTTAAGTACCCACTGCGTGGTGGTGATGAGAATGGGCAGCGCCTCTCCGGGGCTGAGCGCATGCCCTTACCCTGCAGCTTCAGGAGGATTTTATTTTTCCTTTGAGATGCAAAGCGCTTTGGTGGATCCACCTTGCTGTTCTTCAGACATGCCCAAATTTGCCTGGCCCACGGGGTGTACACCGCTCCAGCTGCAACCCCAGGTTACGCAAGCAAGACATTGAGCTACTGTTTTGGAAAATTAAAAAGGCAGGTGATATTTTTTTTCCCCTGGATTCTGGTCATTCTCTTTTTCTCTCTCTCACTTGCTACACATGCCACTCCCTGCAAATGCCTGAGTTCAAAGACACAAAAATCTTAGACTCCTCGATGAAAGGAGAAGTCAGAGTCAGCGAGATCCTCCTTTGGAAATGCTCCTTCTGTGAACCCAGGTGCGGTCTCCACGGGCAGGGCTGTGATGACAAGAAGAAGAGGCACGACAGGGGGAGTGGTCTGGAGTTTACCCTGGGTGGCCAGTGGTGTTCCCAGGTGACAGGGCTGATCATTAGTATAATCTCATCAGCAATTTAAAAATAATGACACTTGGCCCCGAATCTGAGATTCTGATTCAGAAGGTCTGAAGTAGGGCACAGGGAACTTCATTTATTTGTTTATTTTAAATTCTCCAGGATATTCAGGTGCTCACCTGGCGGTTTGAAACCCCCGGCAGCCTTGCTTCGGGAAGGGCTGTCAGAACTCTCCGCATGGGTGTTGTTAGCCCAGGTGATAGTTTCGCTTTTGTTTATTTATCGAGCGTTTATCAAAGTCTTACTCTGGATCAGATACTACTGTTCGTACTGAGGATAAAATTGTGAAAATAAGGCACAGGCCCTTCCTGGAGAAATCTGTAATCCAGTGGGGAACAGCAGAGCATTGCATGTGGTTGGGCAGAGGTGCCCCACAGAACCCTGGGACGTGGCAGAACATCATGGCTTCAGGTATTTCTTATGGCAGTTTTCCGGCAAATGACAGTAACTTGAGGAAGGGGTGCTCTGTGGGATTCACACAGGGATACCATCTGGCCTCGCTGCGGCCAAGTACACTGGTGATTATGGTGTCATATGGTGAGTGCGAGGGAGGGTGCACGGTATTCCAGCCTTGAGAACATATAGGAGAAGCACTTAACTCAGACTCGAGGACCAGAAGCCTTCCTGGAAGAGGAGAGACCATTGTCAGAGGACATACAGGACTAAGCTTGGTAATTAAGAGTTGGGAGGTTGCACCAGGCAGAAAAACTGACACAGCCAAGGTGTGGAGACTGGAAAAAGCAAGAACTCATCTAGGTCACTGAGGTTCAGTGACCCAGGATAAGGTGAGACCAGTAAGAGATGGAATGGGAGAGGTTGGCAGAGGCCACTGGCAGTGCTAAGAAGCTTGGATTTGATCCCATAGACAATGGGAAATCATTCATCACTTTTACTTTAATACCATTTTTCCTTACTTTGTATATGTATATATTTTATACATGTATGTATTTTATTTGTGTGTGTGTGTATGTGTATTTCTCTTATATATATGTGTATGTATATATATATATCAGATATATATATATAGGATAAAGTCACCCACAACCCGCTGCCCTGGACAAACACTAAAATATTTTGGTGTATTCAATGCGTGTGTGCAGGTACATACATCTATTTTATCCATTTCTAGTTTTTCTTTCTTTCTTTTTTTTTTAAGTAGGCTCCATGCCCAGCCTGGAGCCCAGTGCAGGGCTTAAACTCACAACCCTGAGATCAAGACCTGAGCTGAGATCAAGAGTGAGACACTCAGCCGACTGAGCCACCCAGGTGCCCCTCCGTTGCTAGTTTGTAAACAGAAGAATGACACGATCAGATCTTCATTTTACAAAGATCGTTTTAGCATGGTGCTTCTCAGCCAGGGGCAATTTTGCCCTCCAAAAGACATTTCTGGTTTTCACAACTGAAGGGTGGGAACTCTGGGCATCCAGTGGGTAGGGGGTCAGAGATGTTGCTAAGTACCTCATGTTGCATGACCACACAGAGTCCATTTGGGACATGGAGGGTCTGAATGGCCCGTGGTCATCCAGATGGATCTCCTCAGTGGCCAGTGCTCAGCGTATGCTTCATCAGTACGTGGGGGAAGTCGCCTGGGGTTCTAGTTTTTAAAAAGAATGTTCTTGAGTCACGCTCTCATGTACTGAAGTGAGAATTTCTGAATGGTATCTGCAAAGGTATAGAGACAAGAGAGAATATTTTATGGAAGTGAAATAAATTCGGTAAGCCTAGCTTACAGGTAGCTATAGATGAGTGGAGTTGAGGGGGGGATGAGGCTTGAAGGGTGAGGGGTGGTCTGAGAGGCTCATCAGACCAAAGAAGAGCCTTGGATCAAGTTAAGATTTTGGATAATACCTTGTAAGATGTTAAGATGGGGACTGATGTGGTTGCATGCGCATGTTAGACAGATCTCGGTTGGTGGTATGAGGATGGAGAGGAGCCCAGGCACCCTCCTGCCACTCTCGGGAACCGAACCCTGCCCCAGCTGCCCACGCTCCAGATCAGATTCGGGGCCTGGGGAGCCTCATGGGCTGCAGCCCCCGGCGCTCTGGAAAGAGTCTTCACAATCTGGCATGTTCTCTTGGCTCTGGCAAAATTGAATTACTTGCCAGTTCCCAAGCTCCCTGGCTCTTGCCCATCTCCAGGTTTTTGCTCATGCTGTTCCTCACCTTCCATACCTGTTCAACCGCCACCTTCCCCCATCCACTTCCCTGCTCACCCCCACCCCCCCAAGTGCTCACCAGCACCTCTGCATGTTCAGGGCATTTAACTTAACATCTCCTTATTGTCCGCATCACCTCTTTGCTTGTATTTTGGCTCTTTATGTATCTAATGATTCCTACTGCAAAAGCTCTCAGAGAACAGGGTCCCTATCTCAGTCCTATTTGTATCCTCCAAAGCACTCAGAACAGTGCCTGGCAGGAAGGCAGCCTGGCAGGCTCAATAAGGCCGTAGGGGAAAAGAAGAATAAAAATAAAAGGAGTATTCAAGTTCAGGTAGTATTCGTTTAGAGCTGGTGTTTCAGAGTAATGTGAAACATAGTCCATGATATTAATTTCAATTTTTGTTTAAAATCTGAGCTAAACTGTCAACTATATCTGGGTATCTTTAACATATAAAATTGTATGGCTTCTCAGGTTTTTGTTTTTTGTTTTTTGGGGGGGTTGCTTTTTGCATTTTATTGGCTCAGGGGAGGGGCCTCCTCCATGTCACCGGGGGTGCTCACAAGTTCTTCAGCCACTCCAAGCTTGGGCCCTGGGGGACCTGGGGTGGCTGGGCACGTCGGGCATGTTCCCATCATCTTGGAGGGGCACTGGATAGTTGTAGGGCATGGCCTGGTTGATCATGGTGGTGTATTTGGTGGAGGGGCTGAGGGTGGGCAGAATTAGAGCGAGGCCCCCGATGGTGAAGGATGTGACCAACACCGGCTGCTTGGCCCAGGCATCCTTGAGGAAGGTGGCGAGTCTCCCGGCCATCTTGGTCGCAGCCGGCTTCCCAGGTTTTATGCTCGACTCTGGGAAACCGTGAAGCAGGCAGGAGTTCGAATAAAGGAAAACTGTATTTTGCCACTTTTGACTGATCTGACTTGAAGTTGTAGTTCATTGGTTTAAAGCTCGATTCCCTCTGCTGTTTTCTTAGGGAAGAAGAGGACCTCATTTCATACAGAGCAGTGACTCATTACCGCCCATTAAATCCTGAGCTATAATTCAGGCAGAGTGCCCCTTGGCATAGGATTATGGATCTAAAAGATCAAAATCTATCTCCATTTGGGACCCATGTCTTGTAAATTTTTCACTTCTACAGAAACTGAAAGAAGCAACATAAACAGTAAAAGCATAATTATGCTCCAAGATAGTTTCATAGTGAATAAGGCATCTTTATAAAAATAAACATCCAGAAACCACCCTTGTAGGGTTTGCTTTTTGAAAATTCCCTTGTAAATTGTTGAGTCTGGCCCTGACCTAATCTCTCTTGAAAATAAAAATGTATGGAAACAGGAAAATCTGTTTCCCATTTGCAAAAAGAGTCCGGACTGGTTAAGAAGGCGTGCTCTGGATTTCAGGAGGCTGTGGCCGGCTCTGAGCTCATCCACTAACTGGGGCTGTGTCTTCTGACTTCTCTTTGCCTCCATTTCAGGGTCTGTAAAATGACAGCATTCATAGTATCCCCTTCTCAAGAGCAATGTCTTTAAATGAGGTAACATGTGCACACAGCACGAGAACACTGACACATAGTAAGCCCGCAACACATGTATACTATTTTTGTTATTATGTCTTTATGCTGCATTCAAATCCAAATCCACCATTATGTAATTTCTTCTTGGCTACCTGAGTGATAAAGATGTAAAGCATTGATCCTAAACAGTCATAGGAAAAGGTTTCTGAGATTTTTTTCAACAACGCACTAACCAAGAAATGTCTTCCTATAGGACGTTAGAAATACATCTAATATATTCTCAAGTTATTAAGATATAACAGCAAATGTGCTGTTGATTTTCCTCCTGGTGAAAGTTAGGCACTTCTGGGGCGCCTGGGTGGCTCAGTCGTTAAGCGTCTGCCTTCGGCTCAGGTCATGATCCCAGGGTCCTGGGATCGAGTCCTGCATCGGGCTCCCTGCT